CCTAAAATGTGTTTTGGAGCCACAGCGGCACCCAGAAAATCTCAGCTGTTCTTAAGGAGCTCCATATTTGTTTGAGCTCTTTAGTGATGAGTGGAGCTTTGGACTTCGTGCTTTAACCTTGTGTGATTTCCTCCCTCGCATCATCTTTGCTCTCTGCCCTTGCGAGGACATCTCCTGCCCTCAGCCTCCTGGTGGCAACTCTCATTTAAATCAGACGATGAGGCCACCGACTGCAAGGCAGAGCGGCGAGTGAGCTCACCGCCGGGATACGTGCTGGCCGAAGCTTTAGCTTTACTGAAGGAATGCACCTTTCTTCATACTACTGACCGCTGCCCACCCACTACTTCCACTGACCATGCATTATTGGAAAGGAGAGGCGAACGGGTTGTCCTACGCTGCTGGCGGCTGCATTGATTTTCCTCCAGTCTGCGTTCATTTGATCGAGACCGAGCAGCGACATGAGAGTAAGGCGAACGAAAGCGTGGGCACGCCAGGGAGCATGTTGAGCTCTGTGAACTGAGATCGGCTGCAGACGCCTGGCGAAAAACAGGAGGGAGGCAGGAGAATCTCCAGTTTGGGCCCAGCTGCCTTTATGGGTGACACGCCGCAGTCCTGACCCAGAACAATGAACCAGTCTGAACTGACAACAGACCCTTCGATCACTGCCAACATCAGCCATGGAGGCTCGGTTCCTGGCAGGGCCTCGAACCACTCCTGCCCCTTGGGCTGGGGGCTGAACGGAGGCCTGGATGCTTGTATTCTGGAGACCGCTGTCATCGTGCTGCTAACTGTGCTGATTATTGCCGGGAACTTGACGGTGATCTTTGTGTTCCACTGCGCCCCTCTGCTGCACCACTACACCACCAGCTACTTCATCCAGACCATGGCCTACGCCGACCTGCTGGTGGGGCTCAGCTGCTTGGTGCCCACCCTGTCGTTACTCCACTACCCAACCAGTGTCCAGGAGCCGGTCACATGCCAAGTTTTCAGCTACGTCATCTCTGTTCTGAAGAGTGTTTCAATGGCCTGCTTGGCCTGCATCAGCGTGGACCGGTACCTGGCTATAACCAAGCCGCTGTCCTACAACCAGCTGGTGACGCCGTGCCGCCTACGAGGCTGCATCACTCTCATCTGGGTCTACTCCAGCCTGATTTTCTCCCCCTCCTTCTTTGGTTGGGGTAAGCCGGGCTATCACGGGGATATTTTCGAGTGGTGCGCACACTCTTGGCCCACCTCCGCCCTCTTCACAGGCTTCGTGGTGTGCTTGCTCTACGCGCCTGCTGCCCTTGTGGTCTGCTTTACCTATTACCACATCTTCCGCATTTGTCAGCAACACAACAGGGAGATCAGCGAACGACGCGCACGCTTCCCCAGCCAGGAGATGGAGGCCGGCGAAGGGAATGGCGGCGGGCATCACGGGCCGGATCGGCGCTACGCGATGGTACTCTTTCGCATTACCAGTGTTTTCTATATGCTTTGGCTGCCCTACATAATCTACTTTCTTCTAGAAAGCTCCCACGTGCTGGACAGCCCTGCCCTCTCCTTCATAACAACCTGGCTGGCCATTAGCAACAGCTTTTGCAACTGTGTCATCTACAGCCTGTCTAACAGCGTGTTCCGGCTCGGCATGCGTCGGCTCTCGCAGACCATTTGCTCCTTCAGCCACTGTGCTGCAGATGACCGGGACTTCGGCGAGCCTAAACCGAGAAAGAGGGCAAACTCGTGCTCCATCTGAAGCCATGTCTCCTACAGGATGAGGAAATAAGAATCCCAGCATGCTTAGCAGCTAGTTAACTCGTAGTTAAATTGGCAGGGCTCAGTGGATAACTGTATCAACCTTTTTAGCTGATAACTGTGACATTATCCCGGGCACTGGTAATTGCATT